CGTCATCAGCTCCTCATCAACCTAATGTAGCTGCTCACGACGACGACGACGACGTTGATGGTAATGATGATGACAGCGATGAGTCATAACCACTGATACGAATAAATCCTCCTCGAGACCGACAACCACCGCCCTGTGGAACACATTTGCGTCTCATGCATCGATAGATTTTGTTTTTTTATATTTGTATTTAGTTGTTTATTGAACCTTTTTAATGTAATTTTTTAATTATTTATCATTTAATACTTACTTTTTTTTAATGTGGTTGGATTTATTTTAATTTATTTTGTTACAGTAATTTGGTTAATTTTGTTTATTACCATTTAATATCAGTTATTGTTATTTGGTTATCATTTACCATTTAATACTTTTTGTAAGTTTGTTGTATTTAAAATTATGTTCAAATACCAAATTGTTATTAGTTTTATAAAATTTAATAATTGTGTTCTCAAACTTTCTTCAATTTGTTATATCTTTTATTATAATCACATATAACGCCAACGTTCAATCTAGTTTTCTTGTATCATTTTTTACTGTTCATCAGCGGTTATGGAATGACATTAACTTTAAGTAAATGCAAATTAAAGTACAAGAATTATTATTTGATAAACAACTACATCATGTCCTCATCAATTGTTACTTGATGACAACAGAAGTGGATATGTTTTTCTAGCGTGTTCTGGGTTTCTACAATGCCTACATCTTCTGTCTTGTCTAGATCTTTCTCGAATATCCATATCGCAATGAATTCAATTGGATTTTGGATGACCATGCTCCCTCAATAAACTCGGATTTGGTACAATCAAAGCCAATCCTAAACCTCATAAGGGTCTTTTTCATTACCTATGAGGGGAAACTCAAATTCGTATACCTTATAAACTTTAGATAGTAGGTATACGGGATCCACAAAACAGTTATAGTCTTGACGCGTATACGAGCAAGCTGCTATCACATGAGAGCATGAATACTTCAAAGCTTGAAAAAACCAGCAGTCGCACGTTCTGTCCCGTAGAATTACTCTTAAAGACACAACTTCAATCCTTTGAAGATGTCGCGTTAACTTTGTGACACGAAACATTTCATGCCTTCTAGAGAAGTCAAATATAGACATTCCATTTGATGCATCAATTTTTTTTCTGTAGATATGCAACTAATCTAGGGTGATAGACATGACCGCCTTACACCCATGTTTGAGCTTGTCCCCCGAGCTTTGCAAAAAGCACCCCCAAACAAAAATATGTAGTTTTTACCAAAGCCGCTACAAGTAAGTGACGTGCACCCTTTAAGGTTGAATTGATTGCCTCAGTCAAGTTGATCGTCATGTGTCCATATCAATATCCACCATCATGTGGGTTCGTCCATATTTCTTTTTCGATGAGGCTGATGTAAGCGTATTCTTCCTCGTTCTTCGCCCGTAAATCCTGAAGCATTGATTCAAACGTTCGAGAAAGTAATTCGTAACCTGATCAAAAAATGTATAACTTACTAACTTGCTTTCTTTGCAAAAAATAAAATGATCGAAAGAAAACAAACTACATCAGTTCACTTAACCATGCACACAATTAATTGACGCTCATCATTCTTTTTGTACCTTCCATGGTAGTTCACAATAATGTGTCGGAGACAATACCTATGTTGGACAAAGGGTAGTTTCCACATTAGACTCAAAGACTCCATTACTGCTTTGATCCTAGCTCCGCGATCTGAAATGACACATATTTTTCCCCTCGTGATAACATGTGTACGTAAGTTTCGGAGGAAAAAAGCTCATGAATCTGTATCTTCTCATTCGACAAGAGCAAAAGCAACTAGAAGAATATTTCGATTGTCATCTTGGATAGTTGCTAATAATAAAACTTGCTTGCATTTTCCATACAAGAAAGTCCCATCGATCTGGACCACAGGCTTGCAGTATTTGACAGCATTAACGCACTGTGGGTAAGTCCAAAAAACCCTGTAGAATTGGCATCGATAGCGTAGAACTCGATCATTATAGTATGCATACGAGGTTTCGAAGTCCATAATTACCCTAGGATTCAACGTCCGCACCAGCCTAAACCAACATGGAAGTTCATTGTAAGATGCACCCATTTGCCATGAAGTTTGACAATGACATTTTGTTTTGCTAACCAAGCTTTTTTATAGGAGACAGTGTACCCATACTATGATTGTATAGCTGAAATCAACACTGCAACAGCTATATGAGAGCTTGCTTTTACCATGGGCATGATGGTTTGGCATATCACTTCAGAGTCCAAGTTGGGATGATCTTGGTTGACCCCTCCAGCACAACATATGTGAAGACCGTTGTATACTGTTAGTTCCCATTTGTTGTTTTTCCTCTTCCTCTTCGATACGCGAACCATCCAATTGCATCTGTTTTTGCGTCGGGCACAATAGCATACATATTTTTTTGTCGTGGAGTGGTCGACTCTGGACTGAACAAAATTACGGATATTGTAATTTTTGATAGCCATCATCGCTTCTTCTTTGCTTGAAAACTCCATGCCTAAAGATAACTCACCATTATTTATTGATGAGTAATATCCATAGTCACCGAGATGAGGCATATCCGCAAATTCTGGCCCGTACATTGCACCATAATTAACTTCATACATGTGTGCAGGAGGGTCAGTTTGTGCCACATTTCCTGGAACTTCATCTACATCATCATCATCGGAGTTGAATTGCGGTGATTCTGGGTGAATGAATAGTCCAGTCTCAGCACCATCCACACCAGGCTCACGAAGCGGTTCTTCTGGTGGAGATGATAGTTCCTCCATGCTATCTACATTTAGGTCAAAGAACCTACTACTTGCACGTTTTCCCCTTAAACTGGAAGGCATATCGATATTGAGATCGAAAAAGCTCGCAGTCGAATGTCTCCCCCTGGAGCTTGAAGTCATCGTGTCAAATGAATAGTGCACATATTTGTTGCGTCGATGGCATCTCCATATTAAGGTCAAAGGGATTTATAGATGAATGTCTTCCCCTTGAACTACACGCGATGTTGCCATACGGATTGTTCGTTGATCCACCTCGGTACATATCGTAAGGAGTTTCGGATGAATGTCTCCCCATTATGGCATTAAAATCATTACACATTACTATCGTCGGACTGTCAACTTGATCAACTTGTTCAGCCAGCCCATAGTGGGAGCTTAATGATTGACCTCGAGCAGCACACACTTGAACAAAATTTGCATACATCTCAATATCGGCGTCTGAATAATTACTTTGAGATTCAACCATCGCTTCAACATCATCATTGTTCGAAAGTTCGAATGCTGTATAAGTTAATGGCAACAATGATGTTGGAAATCTGTACTGCAACGACGACATTCTTCTACTACTTCCAACATGAGCCTTCCTCGAAATCTTCGTTATCAGCTCCTCAAGAGTTATGTTTCTCTTAAATTATATTTTAACACGCTCATTTGATACGAAAATAACGCCAATTTCATCTTCTCGAATTTCACCATCATAATAAACAATAGCTGAAAGTCACGTCATTCTTTGAGTTTAAAAGTGCGACAATATTATATCTGGAAAAAAACTGAAACAAACCTGATTAAATGAATAATATATGAACGAAAATATAATACAATAAATATTTTACACATAAATGTAAATAATTTAAATAATATAATTTTATTTTATTACCTGCATCGCAAAACTATTTCGACGTATACTTCCGCTTTCCAATTTTACAAACACAAAAATTAATTGAAAACAGTTAGTATAATATTTTTTCAAATAATCATAATAAATAATAAGTATAATAAAAAATTATAACAAAATTACTTTTTAACGAAAAATCGCACGAACTTCTAAATCAAATATGAGAAGATTGTCGGAATTATTAACTCGTTGAGGGAATTGTTTTAATTTATAAGTTGAGAGGGGAGATGTGAAGAGTTTACCGGGGGAGAAGGGCATTTATAGCCGAGAAAAGTTGATATAATTATACAATGCGCGGTATATAATTGTATCAGTTAAAGCTAAGGCGCGACCCCTTCCCCGAGCTATATATAATTGAATTAAAGGTAAGACGCGACCCTTGCCCCGCGCTATTACCCTACGTAGCGTAAGGCGCACCCCAGGGGCCGCGGTTTATACACGTGGCATCAGATTAACATAAAGCGCGCTGTAGGGGCACACCTTACTACAAAGGGTGTTAGATCGGGAAAAATAGTCTGAAGGGTGCCTGACAGGAAAAATTAAATGAAAAAGGTGATATATCGAGAAAAACACCAAGAATGATAATGCGTTGAGTTGAGTGAAGTTTTTGGTCCATTAGAACACAAACCGAAAATTAAACCCATTCACTTGTACTTAATCCGAATAAGTTTAGGAATTTTATCTGTTATTCAAAATTTTAAAGTTTAAATCTCAATAATTTATTTCCACTCTTCCAATAAACCTAAGTCTACGTAAAACTAAAAGGAAAACCCTACAAAATTTTAAGTTTGATACATGCATTATATAGCAAACCCAATGAACAACCCTAACAATCCTAGCAAGTTCAAGGCCTTTGCTCGTCTTCTTTACCGTTAATTTGAGATCACACCAACCTGCTCAAGTTTAGGTCTCATGTTTGTCAATACATTCTTGATAATTTCATAATTGACATCACCAACACTATTATACTCTGCTTGGTTGAGATGCATCCACTAATTATAAAATTATCAATAATTACCTAAGGCTTTTAATCAAATTATCATTTCAGTGATTTTAAAAATGTTGGATTTCAGGTCCAAGATTGTTTTAAGATTTGCTAATGTTAAAGGGGTTAGATCAAGAATATTTAAAACATTATGGGTTCATATAGAAATACTAACACTTTCAAGGCTTCTATGGCTAAAAATCACCAAAACTAAAAGGAAAAATTGCAAAACCGGTCTGGGACAGTGGGAAGACGAAGAGAAGGAAAGAGCGAAAAAATAAAAAAGCTAAAAGTAGCCAAAACGTAATTTCCCGTATTTCTTCAATTTTTTGCTCAAAATAATTTGAGAATTGACTCCTTAACCTCCTCTTGTTACTTTTTTTCTTCTTCCTTTTTTGTCTCCTCAGATCTAATCTTTCTCGGGAATTTTTAGGGGCGGCGAAATCGGTTCGGCAAATCTGCGACGAAATTGGAAATAAACAGCCGGTCTGATCCAAGAATCCGAAATGGATGATTTTCCAGATTTATTTGCGAAAGATTTTGGGATCAAACCCCAAGGTAAATCAGCCCCTATGGCGCCTCCTTGGAACTCTTCTTCCGGTCCGAATTACGGGTACCGATCCGATTATACCCGATCTTCATCCACAAACACTAAATCGTCATCCAATCCAATTTTCGACGATCAGGATCGCGACGGACTCTCGTTCAATGATGTCTACGGAGGACCCCCCAAGTACTCATCCGAATCTCGAGCCTCAACCGTGCAGAACTCGTCGTTCGATTATGACTCCTTGTTTAAGGAGACAAAGGCGCCGGTTTACGATAAGCCTGTTTACGATGACGATCTTTTCGATGGATTGCCTGGGATCAAGAGCTCTTCCACGACATCGGCTGCTAAGTTTGATGACGTATTTTCGGTCCCGGTATCTCCACCTCCTCCCAAGCATAAGTCGGCGAGCAGCTCGCCGTTGGATGACCTGCTTGGGAATCTAGGGAGGAAAGAGACGGAGACGAAGGTTAATAGCGAGAGAGTGAAAGCTGAGAAAGAGGCGCCTTTATTTGATGATTTGCTTCCTGGTTTTGGCCGGAGTAGCTCTCCTGCACCCGTGAGGTATTTCCGGCATATAATGACTTCCATTTTGAAACCACTGAACATCATACTGATTTTTTGCTGTATTGTTGTACGTTTGTTCTTTTGCTGACACCACAATCTATTATATATAAAAAAAATGACACTACAGTCTAGGTGTTTGTTCTGTTTTTTCATATCAAAAGGTATAGGCGCACAGATGCTTAAATGTTCAATCTAGTCGGAGGTTCCAAGATTTTGTTGCGGTTATTATATATTGGGCAGTATATTAATGAAATGAACATATTTAATTATCGGTTTTATGTATGGAGTTGGTTAAGCTAAGTGCTTATTTTTGATTTTGGATAAAATGACTAAAGAAGACAATTTTCACTTAGACGAGTTGGAGATTCTAGATTTATTTATCAATTGATGGCTGTTATTTGTCTGGTTTCTCAACTGCACGGCGTTTTAGCTTTTCCCTTAAAAGTTTTGTTCCACGGAAGCAACACTTTGCTTGAGTTGATCAACACTGAATTATCTCATCTAAATGTTGTGTGGTTCTAAATTGTTGTTACACTGCAAATCCGATTGATATGAAACAAATAATGTGGATTTTTTCTCACCTTGGGAATATATTTACTTCAGTTCAGTTGCATATTTGAGGGAGCATCTCATCTGGGGTAGCAACCACCATAGCAACCTATATCTAGGATCAGGAGAGCTACCTAAGGCCGTGTTTTTGCAGCTTAAAGTTATACCTTTTTTTGCTGTGTATTAGTTGCCAAATGATAAATATGCATTCCCCCAATTCATGTGTGGGGGTTTATGTTCATTTTGTATTTATTGAGTCTCAATGTTGGTGATTAATATAAAAGTCATCAATCCATAGCTTCTTCAGATGACTCAGTTTTTATGCGTAGTGGTACCAAAATAGTTGTGTTCATACTTACGTGATGTGTGTGTCACAGCAGGTTCGTAGATCCATGAATATGACTTTCTTAAGACGTACATCACATAAATGCAGATGTAGCTCTATTAATCTTTATCTGGTCTACTGGCTATGCAAATCTCTTTTGTTGGTTGAGAAATACACCATCCTCTGTTTCTTTCTATTTTAAAGTGGAAAAATTCCTAGATTAAATTCATTGGTTAGGTGATGTTCTGTTGGTTTTTTTAATGTTTTTGTAAAACTGGCAAAGAAAAAAAAGAAAGATAGAAAATGATGCTGTAAATGAGTTAGGCCAAAATGTACTGCTAGAAATTTTGAGATTTTCTTATGATTTATGATTATGATAACATCCTCTTCTTTTCTTTTTTTTAATTTTTTTGAAATGTTAGTTAGAAACATGTACACATCTTTTCCTATTTACTACAGTAAATAATATTGTCTTTCATGGTGTTTTTACTTGTAAATTTTAATCTGTAGCCAGACCTAGAAGGGATAAATAACCGAAGACAAAGATATAAAAACGTATTGTCATTCAATTGTGATTTTGATTAACCTGAAACTCTTAGTGCACATTAATGCTGGATTAAGTGCGAAGAAGGGTAAACAAAAGGGGATATATTTGGACTCTGAACACTTTGTTCAAATTTTGATATAATGTATTTTTCTAATCAGTTCCATATTTGTTCAATTCCGTCTTTTTAATTTCATGTTCTTATAATAGTTGGCTTTAACATGCAAATGTTTGCTGATATCATGCTCCATTCTTTGGACAGGTCAAATTCAGAGGCTGGTCAGTCCCAGAACCCAGTCTCAAATTCAAGTAAGACTGGGTCCAATTTGATGGAGGACCCTTTTGTTGTCTTAGGATCAACATCAGACCCTGCACATTCATCCTCTGGGTTGTTTACAGACCCCTCTGAAGTAATAAGTAAACTTAACGGATCTGGGAAGTCAAGAGTGGAGAGTTCATCTGGTAGTGGGGGTGTGTTTGATGATTTAGATCCTCTTGATGGTATTGGAAAATCTGTACCTTTTGTTTCATCTGAGGTTAATAAGAGGGGGAAGGATATGAGCCCTTTAAGAACTTCAAGTGGACCACAAACTTCAGCTAGTAAAGAACCAAATGATGAAGAGTTTGAGCACTACACAAAAAAGAGGATGCCTTCTATGGGAGATTTTCCAGCATCTCATCAACCTGTGTTTGACATGCCCAGTATGTCAACTAATTTTAATAGTTCTGGTGGTCGAGCTACTAGTCCTCCTGCATACTCGAATGTTGGTTCTAATGATACTAGTTCCCAGGTAAATACAACTCCAAGATCTGAGAACTTCGACACATTTGATGATGTGTGGCTGACTGTATCAGAGATTCCCCTCTTTACACAACCTACTAGTGCTCCTCCCCCTTCAAGACCACCGCCTCCAAGGCCACCACGAGCTTCAAAGCCAATGCCAGGCTCATCTTCTTCCACAAATGCTAAAAAGAAGGTTAATGATTTTTCTTCTTTCCCAAATTCCTCTCAGTACTCACACAGCTCTCAGTCAGCTTATACTGCAGCAAGCAGCAATGTTACATCTCAAATTGATGAACTTGAAGATTTTGCAATGGGTAAGGCCCAGAATAACTTCGAACAGGCTGAAGTTTTTCCAGGTGATGATTTTGAGACCAGTTCTGTTGCTGCTGCTTCTGCTGCTGCCATGAAAGAGGCAATGGATAGAGCAGAGGCTAAATTTAGGCATGCTAAGGAAATGAGGGAGAGAGGGAATGCTAGAAATAAAGAAGCTGGTCAAATGGATAAAGATGAGAGAGCTACGCAAGATGCTTTGGATAGAGAAGTTATAGAAAAGCAAGAGAGGTTGGAGCGTGAGAGGCAACAAAGGGAAATAGAGGAAGAAGAGAGAGAGCAAAGGAGACGTGAACTGGAGAGGGAAAAGGAAGAGGAGGAGAGAACACAAAGAAGGCTCGAGAAAGAGAGGGAACGTGTTAGGCAGATGGAGAGGGAAAAGGAAAGGGGCAGACAAGCTGTTGAACGGGCTACTAGAGAAGCACGTGAAAGAGCAGCAGCTGAAGCTCGTACTAGAGCTGAAAGGGCAGCTGTTGAAAAGGCATCAACTGAAGCTCGACAACGTGCAGAAAGAGCTGCTGTACAGAGAGCACAAACTGAAGCCCGTGAAAGGGCAGCAGCTGAGGCTAGAGAAAGAGCAGAAAGAGCTGCTGCAGAAACAAGAGAGAGGGAAGCACGGTCAAGGGATGCAGCAGCAAAAGCTGAAGCTGAAGCAAGGAGTAAAGCTGAAAGAGCTGCTGCTGAGGCTCGAGAAAGAGCAGCTGCTACTGCAAGGGCAAACCAGCAAAAGAATGATGATGATCTCGAATCATTCTTTATGGGTTCTCGACCCAGCAGTGCACCAAGGCCAGGAGCTAACTCATCGGTGAGAATCTTAAGCTGCAATGCTGTATTCATCTTCCGACTCATGCTGTAGTGTCAGCTTGTCTGGTTTCTAACTTGAGTTGTTGCTCATGCAGGATCCCCTGTTTGATGGACAAAGCAAGGGAGGGCCTGAAGTAGCATCTAGCATGAGGAAAGCTTCTTCAACTGCAAACGTTGTTGATGATCTCAGTTCTATTTTTGGAGGTGCTTGCATAATAGAGATATAATGATTTTTTGTATTTTTTAATATCATGTTTGTTCTCCATAGTTGTAACTGACTAAGCTACTTTGATGCTAAAGCTGCTGCATCTTCATCTGGAGAATTCCAAGAGGTCAATGGGGAAACTGAAGAAAGGAGAAGAGCCAGGTTGGAACGCCACCAAAGAACTCAGGAGCGTACGGTATATGTTCCACATTGCATATTTCATTTATCTCTTTCTTCCTGTCCAATTCTGTACTGCTTGCTAGTCTTGGCTTACTACTGAGTTTGCAAATCCAGGTCAAAGCATTGGCGGAGAAAAATCAGCGTGACCTTCAAGTGCAAAGGGAACAAGCTGAGAGACTCGTAAGTGGATGCATAATTTTTTTGTTATTATTGTTTATTCTATTCTCTTTCATCATCATCTTACAATAAAGGACTCTCGCTTTAGCCCTAGCCTCCTTATCATATACACAATGCATAAGTTAACTTGTAAAATTGACTCTGGGATTGTTTACTCAATTTTTATACTAATGCTAATGTGTATAAAGGAAATTGGTGGCTTTGATTTACAGATTAAATTTATATATAATTCTATTATATAATTTGTTGAGACTTCTAACAATGGTATTATTAATTGTTTAAAACCTGTTCAAAACTGTCTCAATTTTGTGACTCAAGTATCATCAAGTTTTGCACCCAAATTATATGTTAATCTGGATTCAGTTGGCTTAAGTCATTGAATGTATAGTCACACATTATGCTGCATTAGAATATATGTTAATGTGCAAATGAATGGATTTCTACTTGTGTATGCATACGTCTACCAAGTTTATTGTAGTATTTACTGTCCATCTTATATTGATTATGGTGTTGTTTCAGAGGATTGCTGAAACACTAGACGTTGAGATCAAGAGATGGTCTGCTGGGAAAGAGGGAAATTTGCGTGCTCTGCTGTCAACACTGCAATATGTATGTTATTACTTATTACTACCATTCATCTTGTTTGTGCTCTCTTGCACAGTATTTTATGTAGGAGCATACTTTATTTTATTCCTTGTGTTTATTTCCTAGTATATATTGTGCTGGTTGTCTGTTCTCATTTTATTGCCTAAATACCACCGGTCTGATATTTAACCTTTTTTATAGAAATTTTTTATATGCGGTAGATGACTTTAAGGCAAATTATGAGCTATGTTTTTACGTACCTGCCTAACTTTTTAATATTCTTCTCCGCTGTTATGTTAAATGGATACACCGTACATGGCTGCTCTTAAGTGGAACCCAAAACTGAAAATGAAATTGAGCTGACAATTTCAGGTGTCTGGCTCCAATACTTGTAATGTTTACTGTTTGATTTAGCAGTGACTTTTAGAATTAAGGTACTGAAGCATGGGAGTACGTCTTCGTAGTGTCTTCCCTTCATGATGCTTACCATCTTGATCTTACTCTGGCAGTTTTGTTGTTCTACTCAAGGAACTATTCTTGTGCCAGGCATGCACTTCTTTATTGAGCATTAAACTCTGTGGAACCCATTTAAGAAAAATTTGGCGTGGGTGGATGTCAATCTTGTTGTAAGCATCTGATGCAGAACTTTGTAGAATGCTTGGGATCCTTTGCAAAATTCTCTTTTTCTGCATGTCTTGCTAACACTCGCATCACAATTTGACATTCACAATTGCCTGGACATGCAAATACTTATTTTGAGGAAAAGTGTAGTGTTTCTAGTAGTTGAACTGCTTGAGAATAAGCTTTATTGTCTTGTACTTCTTTGCCTTTTCCACCATTCATCTGAAGGTTTAATTATGTTCCAATTATTAAATTTGCCGTGATGTAAGCACTGCCGTGTGATTTTGGAAGGTCTCTTGAAAATTTCATAGTAGTTTCTATTCATCAGTTTTTTTTGCTTGCATGTCTTTAATTCATGAAAATGTGATATCGTTACTGTTTTAACTAATCTATCTCCTGTTCCTGTCCTTTGATGATTAGGTTCTTTGGCCTGAATGTGGCTGGCAGCCTGTTTCTTTGACAGATTTAATAACAGCTGCCGCAGTTAAAAAGGCTTACAGAAAGGCGACTCTTTGCATCCATCCTGATAAAGTCCAGCAAAAAGGCGCCAATCTTCAGCAGAAATATGTTGCAGAGAAGGTCTTTGACTTGCTCAAGGTACTTCAAAAAATTTTGCCTGAAGAACTTTATGGTTGATGTCCTATTTTACTATTAGAGCCTGTTTGTACTGATCGCTTTTTTTTATTTGTCACATTTTTGAGATGGGAAATCATGGCATTTGTACATTAGCATATTAATGTCGTGTTGCTGCTGCATTTCTTTCCATCTTGTTTTCGTTCTCATGGTAAATCGTATCTCTATGGTAAATAGGAAGCATGGAACAAGTTCAATTCGGAGGAGCTTTTCTGAGTTTCAAATCGCCGACTTTGTAGCTAAAGAAATTTGTCATTTGGCAAAGTAGGCATTGAGTTTGAGTGAATACACGACTGCCAAGCTGCTATAATTCTCTCAGATGCTGCTGCCTGCCTGCTTCGGTTTGATGATTCATTAAGTCAACTATTAAAGAATGGCATACGAAGCCTGCTTCAAAGGCTTGTAAGGTGTACCGTATGGAAGGGTGAAGTACATAAAACTCTTCTTTTCTTCAGGTTGCTGTACATTAAATCTTCATCCAGGTACTTCGCATGCAAAAATATGGAATCTCCAGGTTAAGTGTAGATTATATAATTCACCGAATTGGGCAGTTGTGTTGTCGAGGGGATATTTTTGTTAATTCATTTTTAATGTTTGTTTTGTTTGTGTTTTTTGTTCCCCCCATTTCCCCTACTTTTCTGTGGAAAATAGTGTTCTTTTGATATCAGAAGAATAGTAGGAAATATGTATTGATTGTTGAGAGATGGGTACTCCGAGGTGGGTAATTCATATAAATATCATTTGTTTCTTCCGTGCCACCTACTGTTATTTTATATCTGCCTAGCCTTTTGTTTTTATATATTTGGCAAGATTTGTCTTGGTGTAGAGGATTAGTGCCATGATTTGTGGGGGGTTTAAGCCTTTCCCTAGTTTTTCTTTTCGTCATTTTTATTTCTGTGGGATTGAAATGCTTGTGTATTTATCTCGGAGTCGTTACCTTTGGGGCCTCAGTTGTGTTCCTTTATAATAATTCCACTATTGCGTGGGGGAAACAACCATTCAGATGAAACGGAAGCGCGACAAATGCAGATTCATATTCAAATAGTCATTTTAAGCTAAAGATCCCGAGCTATGAAGCAACGAATTCATATTTCAACTTGCATCATATACCATTTAAAGAATCCAAGGAAAGGAACTACTGTGATGGGGGAACAATCAAGTTTTTATATATTGTAAAAGGTGTTTTTATGAGATACTCACATCATTCCTCGAGAGAAAAGAGAAGAAATTTTCATTTCTGTATTTTAATTATAATTTAACAGAATTATAAAATTAGAGCATTGATTTATATCAAATTAATGCATAATTTTTTATTAATATAAAATAATTATAATATAATATATGTTTGAAAGATTTTCAATCATTTAAAAATAAATACTAACATATTTGCAAAGGTTGTGTTTGAATCCCAAAACTCGAAGAAACCATCGAGGTCACATCTTGACAGGAAAAAAAAGACGATCTTAATATAATTCGAAGGCCATGGAAGTGGAGTTTGGCATGGGCCTAAGAGGCCTGGGCTGTTGGTGGTAGCTCAGCGTTGGGACTTAACAAGCGAAGGAGCCACAGAGAGTTGGAGCAAGCGAGAAGATTTTTTTTTTTTTAATGAAAGCGTAAAAACTAATAAACCACCCCATAAATATATAAGCAAATTATCTATCTGGAAAGAATAAAACCTGATAAAACCCAAAGCCCTACTGCCATCTCCTAAAATCTCTACCACTCTCTCAGCTCTCAATCCCAACCTTCCCACTCTCTTGCTTCTTCTTCAATTTATCGATATCGCATTTCCTTCCTTCAATGTAAGTGTTCTCTCCTTCTTCTATTCTTCTAATTTTGTGTTTGTTATCTATAATCCTACTGGATAACCCACTTGGGCTTTTGCACTTAACTGTTTTTTCTTCTATCCTCGGTTCTTTGAGAGGACCCAGAGAGTTTCTCTGCACTGAACCCAGAATTTGGAAGCTAATTTGTTTCCAGGGAGATGGCTGTTTCTTTATTTTTCTTCATTTTTCAGACGATGGTGACATCGAAAATCTTTTATTACATGGTTTTTTGTGATGATAATAGTACTTGGGAATCCTTTAAACCTTTTTCTACTCTTATTTATTGGTCTTCTTTGGGTGTTACTTTATTCTGTTATCGAGTGATTCTTCTTCTTTTTTTTGGATTTCGCAGTATGTTTACTTAGGCTCGAGTTTTCAGCTTTTTGGAATTTGAATTAAGTTAGATAAATCAGTTCGAAGGCAGGGTGAACGTGGTTGGAAATGAAGAGGAAAACGCAGCTTCAACTTGCAGAACTTGAGGACTTATATAAGGGTGTTTGGCTCTGCATATTTCTCTTGTAGCATTAAAGATTAAAAATGATATTCTTCGGGTTATTGTTTACTTTAGGTTTCCAATCTACATCTTAAGTTTTGTTTCTTACACTATATTCAAATTTAAGCTAAAAACCTTCTTCTAAAGTCTGACTTAGATTTAATTTAAATTTTCATCAATGGCTTCTGGTGACTGGTACGTGTTTATGATTACATATTCTTACTTCTTTTAATCATGTGAAACAGACAAAATATTTCTTACCCAGGAGGAGATGGGAGACTATGCTTTGAATTTAGGACTAACTCTGAAACAGGTTCAGCAGTGGTTTATCAATAAAAGGAAAAGGCATAAAGGAACTATATTACCTATTCGTTCTATGAAAAAGCCCTCTGCTTCTACAAAAGGGAATGTCACCGGGATTTTTGCTCCTAGTGAGAATCATAAAAGCACTTCTTTAGTCATAGTAAATGGCTTTGGCAAGAAAAAGAAGAAATTGCTTCTTCCTCAGGATTTGTTGCCTGCTCAGTTCATTCTAAAGAAGGTATTTCGCAAGGATGGTCCTCCGCTCGGTGTGGAATTCGAGTCTCTTCCTTCCCAGGCCTTTTTCCACTGCAAAGGTACTGTACTAGAAGATTGTAGCCTTGTAGCCTTGGTGGTTGTTCGATTCTATTTAACAATTAACGTTATTTCCCTAAAACAACAACATTGGCTGCCATTCCTTAATTTTGTGGTTTTGCTGAGAATCAAAATTATGCTGGAAACCTCGTTCCTTTTCCGGTTCTCATCCATTGAGATTTTTCAAGGTTGCCATTTTGATAAGATAACTAGTGAATTTTATAAATTTATTTATTTTCTTATTGTTTCTTTTTTTTTAGCTTGATCTATATAGCTTAAGATCTGAGAGCAAGAATCTGAGAGCAAGTGTCAGGCATATGGGTTTTTTATTCAACATTGGTATGATTTAATAATTTTTAAGTGTTCTATTTAGAAGGTAAAGATTCCATACACATGTTTACTTCAATAACATGTTGGATAGGTGTCTGACAAGGGTACTCGACCTAACACTAAGGGTTGGAATAACGTAGCTTGTTATAATTTGATTTTTGCTTTTCTAGTATTCTTGGTTTTCACACTGTATTTTGATGTATTTTTGAACTTACTCATAATTACTATATTTAGGCTCTAAAGAGTCTCATCTCGCTGATCAAGAGTGTGAAAGAGGAGCAGCCAAAAGGAGAAAGGTATGGAGAATGTTTTCAAGATGTTCATATCCAGTTCCTAGTTCTTCCGTTTTCTTATTTGTTTTACTTTTGCTTCTTGTATTTAAAATTTTTGAGTTTATCGGCATGAATCATCAGAACAACTGTAATGAGAAAGCCCCGATGAAGAAACATGGTATTGGAAAAGGTTTGATGACAGCTTGGAGGGTTGTGAACCCTGAGGGTGGATATATTCCTACTGGTGTTGATTTTTCTAATAGAGAAATTGGTGCTCCTCAAACTAGTTCCGCAGTGCGAAGGCAACCACCTCGGAACAAAAGGCGGCAGCCTTTAGTATCTCAAATGGTTAGCTATCAATTATTTGAGTCACATGATTTTATGTTGACTTCTTTCTTTTAATCTTCTTATGAAGCCTTTTATTTTTATTTTTTCATTATTCCCTGAAAACCCAGTGGTTATGCTTTTGAGTGATCATTTCCTGTGGTCTTGTGTTGAAAATTTGCTTACTTCAGCTTGCAATTTCAGAAACAGAGAAGCTTGGAAAAGAAGTTACAGGAAAAGAAGAGGACTTCCATTAAGAGGAGAGAGGCATATACGGTAATTTCTATCACATTTTCTATAACTGCAGTATTAATGTTCACTTGCCTGTTTTGTTCCAGGTGCAATCTAACAAAAATGTCAATCAGATGCAACCGCGCAAAGAAAAATGTGAACTTGCTTTGGATGGAACTGTATCTAATGAATGTCTTGATCAACTTGCAATGCTAGCTGATGACGAAGAATTAGAGTTGAGGGAGTTACAAGCTGGACCAAATCCTTTATCATGTGCGGATCATCTTGGTAGAAGTGGATTGCTTGGTTGCTCCCTTTGCAAAGGTTCACTGGTTTTTAGTATATGATTCGAAGAATACTTGAGTAATTTTTTTACATCTTATTTGTAGCATTTATATGATGTGCATATATAAGGTGTTTTTTAGTTCTGTAAAGAATCTGTTTATGGTTTCCCAGATTTGCTGGCCAAGTTTCCACCAAGTTCGGTTAAGATGAAGCTACCATTCAGTATGCAACCATGGAATTCATCTCCCAAAACTGTCAAAAAACTGTTTAAGGTGCGTGCCTGTTAAGCCTATAGTTCGTTAATGTTGTTCTTCATTCAATAATATTGCAGCATGTTATGAGTCCCATTCCTTTATTTTTCTAAACTGTGTTTCTTAACGATTGTTTGCATTTCTTTTTTCAGGTTTTCCATTTCTTGTATACCTATTCAGTAACCCTTGACATATGCTCATTTACACTTGATGAGTTTGCTCAAGCATTTCATGATAAGGTTATCTCTCATCTATATTGTACCATATACTTTGAAGTTCTTAACTTGGCTTATATTTATTCTCTTATTTTTTTATCACTCTAAACATATGCGTGTGTGTATCTCAGGATTCCATGTTACTTGGTAAAATTCACGTTTCCCTTCTCAAGCTTCTTTTATCTGATGTCCAAGCGGAGTTGAGTGGTGCAGTTTTGCCTCATTTTAGCTTGTCTTGCAAGTTTCTTTCTCTTCTTCAATCGGTGAGTAATGATCATGCAGATGCTTTTTTGGGTATTTTAAATGTCCAATTGGATGCTTGCATGTGTCTGTTTGCTTGCAATGGTTGTTCTTGTGTGGGATATTCTCCTCTGATTTGTTTTAATAATGCGCCATATTACTTAGACAATCTGTATAATTGGGAAAGCATTGGATATTATTTTTAGATTTCTTCCCATTGACACAGAAGTTATTTATATTCCTTTTGAAAAGAGTTTCAAAGTGATGGATCAAAAAATAAGTCTGGATTCAGTAGTTATTTGACTAGAAAATAGATCCCTTGAAAAGGAAGTGCTTGTTAGATGAGATTCATTTTATAAGATTTTTTGTTGTTGTTGCTCGAGTTATATTCACTTAAATATGAATTTGGGGCATCAATCAAAATTGACTGATTGAGTTGAAGATAAGCTAACCTTTTCTCCGAGTTGACAACACTGTTTTTATTTATCTGTTTATTAAGCATATCGGTCAAGTTGCAAAACATAATATGTTAGATTGACATGCATTCAGTGACTTGGCTGGGCCTGATATTCTTTTTTTTTATAAGAATTGAAGGCCTTGTTAAAAACCCCCCTTCGTAATTAATGGAGCTTGGAGAAAGCTCCTTAATCATTGGAAGGAGGAAAAGAGAGCCTTA